CACCGCCTCCCCTTTGAGAACTTTGAGGTGCGATGGTGATCGTGGTATTGGTGGTGGTGAATGAATGAATGATGACTTTGGTGGTAGTGGTGGTGATGTTGGTAGTTGTGGTGCCTCTGGTTGTGGTCGTCGTGATGCTGTTGCTGTTGTTGTTGTCTTTCCTGGAATGTTTGTCACATCACCGCACTCTCACCACTGTGTCACCCATTTCCCCCTTGTCTCGCACAACCAATCGGGCTGGCGTGCGTTCAACAGGAGGGCTTCCAGGCCATGCGCAAGGGCGAGGCCGTTAAGGTTGTGCTCGAGCTGTAATGCAGACGTACATGTATCCATTCACGCATCACACATGCAGGCGTAACATGAACGCAGCGCTTTCAGCTGCATTCGTTTCGTGTGCTGTGTGCCGTGTGCTGTGTGTGAGCGCTTTTCTGGCTCTGTGTGCTGGTGTGAGCAGTGCTGTGCCGTGTTGCATGGCCTCGTGTCGTGCTCTGTGGTGTTGGTTGGTTGGTTGGTTGGTTGATGTTGGTTGATGCTGGTTGGTGTTGGTTGGTTCGCTCAGATCATTACAACACAAAGTTGAGAAAGGACAAGGCGCATTCATTTACAACAACAACGAAACACACAAACAGCAACAAACAACATGGCTGACACACAGGAGGAAGCAAGGTGTGTGTGTGTGTGTGTGTGTGTGTGTGTGTGTGTGTGTGTGTGTGTGTGTGTGTGTGTGTGTGTGTGTGTGTGTGTGTGTGTGTGTGTGTGTTCTGCCCTTCTCTGTCGACACACTGACTCTCTCTCCTCACGCACACACACACTCTCTCTCTCCTTCTTCCCTTCCCCCCTCTCCGTCACCCCCACTTCCTGACTCGCCTCATCTCTGTACCTGCAGTGGCTGGCAACGCAGAGAACCAGCTTGCCTTGCGCGCCAGTGTTCGTGAGTTGGGCGAGCAACTGTCGCGCGCCTTCTCCGATCAATCGACATGGGATGTGCGTTGTGTCGTGTCTCGCTCCCTCATGCCCTGTACATGTCTGTGTGTGTATGTGTGTATGTGTGTCTTTGTGTATGTGTGTCTTTGTGTATGTCTGTTGTCTGTGTGTATGTCTGTATGTCTGTCTCTAGCTCCACACACACACACACACACACACACACACACACACACACTCGCTCACATCCACAAACACACACACACACACACACACACACACACACACACACACACACACACACACACACACACACACACACACACACACACACACATGCACACACAACCACGTGTGGTAGACCATCTTGGACATTGGCGAGCACGCGCTGGGCGTGATCCAGGCAAACCTGGTGTCACTGGACGAGCAAGTGGCCAAGTTGTACGAGGTGGTTGCGGACGTGCTTGAGAAGCGAGAACAGTGGGTGGCGGCAGCAGAGAAGCTTGCATCCATCCCACTGGAGTCTGGTCAAGCCTCGTTCAGTGCCCAATACAAGCTACACATTTATCTCCGCATCGGCGCCCTCTTCCTCGAGGACAACGACCCATACAGAGTGCGCGCATGTCCTTGTATGCTTGTATCTGTGCGTGTCCGTGCGTGTGGTTGTCTCCCCGCTGGTATACTTGCCTCATGCCCGTGTACTTGTGCGTCTACTTCTTTGTCGGCTGTGCGAGTGTGTGCACCCGTCCCTCACCTCATGTTACTGCCCCCCCCCCACTTGCCCTTCAGGCCGAGTCGTACGTGTTGCGAGCGGCAGGGCTGGTCGGCTCCCTGAATCTCACGGACAAGGCCGACCCAAACCTGCTCAAGTACAAGGTACACGCATCATCGTCAGCATGCTTACTTGCAGTGTGCCATCAACGAACGTTTGATGGTGGTGTAACATGTAACCACTTGATCAACTGTCCACGTCGACTCAGACTTGCTGCCATCAAGCATGCCACCGCTGCCATCAAGCATGCCACCGCCGCCATCAACCCCCCCCCCTTCCCCTCTACTATTCCCACTTCTTCCCACTCACCCTATTCACCCCAATCACCATCACCACCGCCATTATCACGGCCACTGCAGGTGCAGTGTGCGCGCATCGACGATGCCAAGCGGCGGTTCTCCGAGGCGGCGCAGCGGTACATTGAGCTCGCGTACATGATCCCAGATGACGAGGCGCGCATGATGGCCCTCAGCCAGGCCGTCAACTGCGCAGTCCTCTCCCCGCCAGGTGTGTGTGTCTGTGTGTGTGTGTGTTTGTGTGTGTGTGTGTGTGTGTGTGTGTCTGTGTGTGTGTGTTTGTGTGTGTGTGTGTGTGTGTGTGTGTGTGTGTGTGTGTGTGTGCGAGTGTGAGTGTGTGCTGGCGAGCTTGCGCGAGGTATCCGGTGAATGTGACTGAGCGTATGCAAGCACAGATAAGCAAGAAAAGGATCTGCCCACTCCCACCGCTGCTGTCTCAAGATAATTACGGATATCGATATAAAACAGGCACGTGGCTATGACAACATGACCATATCAATGACATACACGA